ATTAACTACCATTAAATTTAGTTCTGATAAATGTCATGACATCATTAATAATTTATGTAAATTGTTTGTAGTCATATTTATACAGTGGGTAAAAAAAACACCAAAGACGCATTGGTTTTGTAAACTATGTTTTATCTGAACACATCATAACCATGACAACATTGTCGCCTCTTATCAGCATCTGGTTCACATGTCTGCGAATAAAATCGCCTCTGACGATTGTCCTCTTTCTCTGTACATGATTTTTGTTTGTTTTTTGTTCAAATGTACTCATCACAGAGCCACCCATAGTCTCCTTTGATTCTCCCACACAAACAGTTTCTGAAGTTGTTGTATTAGTACAACTCCCAGCAGTTGTTATTTCTGAAGTGACTGTTCTAGATGCGCGACATACCCCTGCAGTGGCTGTTCCAGATGCTTTACATACTCCAGTAGTATTTTCCTCTTTCCTGCTGATAACCGCTGATTCCCCTTCTGATTTAAACTCAACTTCCTTTAGTTTAGTTTTTTCAACAATCGTTTTACTTGAATCATTACATTCTGTTGGTGTGCCATCTGTAGATAAAAAGTCCAATTCTGACTCCCTATCTTTCAAAACATCTTCATCAGCTTGAGTTCCCATTTTCAAATCGTTTTTTTCACCCACACATTCTTCTACCACCCTATCTTCATCACCTTGGTTTATCGTTATCAAATCCTTTTTTTCATCCTCGCATTCCTCCACTGCATCATCTGTCATCGCTATAACAACGTCAGAATTACTCTCCTCATCTTGACCCAACAGAGCAAGCTTTTCCTGAAGTGAAGCTAGCTCACTTTCTAAAACAGACAGATCATCTGGTTCTTTATTCCCATTGTTCTGATGTGTGTCTGTTTTCTGTTTCCTATTGTGCCTTTCCTTTTTCTTTTTGCCCCGCGTTGTATGAGGGGCATCAACTGTAACAGTTTTTTTGTCAACATCACAAGCAGAACTATCATCCTTAGCATCTGTTCTTTGCTTCTCTGTGGGTCTGATATCATCTGATGCTGGTGTTGACTGTCCACCAATATCCTCTTTATACACACTGTTCTCGATTAGCTGGAAAAACAAAGAGGGGGAAAAAAAAAAAAAAAAAGTATCGTAAAATCTGTATTAGAAGATGTATCCCAAGTACAATGTACAATTCTAATTGATGTCACTGTTTCTAAGACTTTTCAGTAAGACTAAATTTAATTATGAATTATCAATTGTCATACAATGATGGAAACTGAGACTTCTGAGTACCTTATGGGACTGATTATTTCTACATATATTTCTGCAGCTGTTCAACGTTGACCAACAGGAAATGTATTGGCTAGCCTACCTTCCTACATGTAAGGCGTTCTTCATTGTACAATTTCTTTCCTAAAGATGGTTTCTTGTAGACTTCATCAACATCAACCATTGCCTGAGGGAATGGATGCAATAGGATGAATCACATTATTTTAGTTACAGTGTGTACACTTACCTGCTTCAACAGCAGGTCATTATATTATATGAAAGGCTATGTGTTTTTTATGCACTGTCCACACCATAGTTTTGCGACACCTATGTGAAAGTTTCCTTCATGGTCTATCGTAGGTGGTGCCTATGATACAACTGTTATCCTGCTATTGGTATAAACATGATAGCGTACTTTCAACATGCAGAACATCCTAATGACAATATCCCAAAAAACTATTAAGAAAAGAATGTTAAAATATAATTTTTTGTGTCTCAAAATATAATATTTGTTCTATTTGAAGTGCATGTAAAAGTCCCATTAAAAGTTGACATCAACACATTACTGTGAGCATTAGGTGTCCCACCAACAACAATTTTCAGCTTTCACACACCCCTAGTGGGAATGAACTGCCAACAAAGTAAATACAGTTACTGCAGAGAAACCATTGTAATATGCAAATTAGGTACTGCTAACATTTGGAGTTTTAAAATCAAATTGCTTTTCAATAATTGTGGCATAGTAGATGGCGATGTGTTAACCAGTCATTGACATAGAACTGTTATACGATACACAGTGACTTTCACAAAGATGTGAAATATATCAGCTAAAACGGTCATGAAAGTAAACATACCAGGTTCCAATACTTATCATAAGCTACTAAGTACCCAGTGCACATTCCACGGAGACCTTTGAAAGTACGAGTACATACTCGGATCCGTAGTTTATCTTCCACTGAGCGATATAGCATTGACATTGGTCCCTGGTTTTCTTCTGTGAAAAAAAATTGTTAAAAATGATTCTTTTTTAAATACATTTACCCTTGGGGGCGAGCTACGTCACAGAACGTTGTACGTTGCTAAGATGCACACAACTCTACCATGTATTTCTATGGGCTCTGCGCGAGCTGCTGTGGAGCGCCAGTCGAAGAGCCGGTGAAACTAGCTAAAGTCAAGGAAACAGCACAAATGCAACTTTGAATTAATTCTAAGCAACAACATTCACATATGTTGCACATGTAGGGGTAATCTTGTTTCACTGTTCAGCAGAGTGTGAACAACAATCCCAAAGTGCATTTGTTTTCACTGTGATGGTTGCTAGGCTGCGAAAATACCTGGATGTCTGCCCCCCCCCCCCCAAGGATACAAATATTTCTCATCTATTGTCTAATAATATTGTTATTACTAATATATGATATTAGAGTGATACCGTTGTCATGTTTATAAATTTGATAGCTGCCAGTTTTTGTTGTTGCACATTTACAGACAACCTAGAAAATTAAAATATTAAAAAATGTGTTTTATGCTTGGCATAGTCAAAGGCTTTTGCAAAGTGTCCTGGACAACGTTATGGCTATTCAAATTCAAAGTGGTAACTACGGTAACTGGCTGTAAAAGTGTTAGAACAGTGTACAAGTAAATATGGAAAGCTTTCTTATAAACCAATAACATAGGTTGGTAGACACCTACACCCATGCTTTCCAACTTGTTCAATGTTTATGGGGATCAATTAATCAAATTAGTTGACAAATTGGAAGTTTTGATACACATTTTCTTGTACTGTATATACATAATCAAAGTTTTATAAGACGAGGGATGAGGGTATGCAACTGGTGCAACATGTGATGAAGATCTGGATATATAGCCTCATGAAATAATCACAAATCACATTCCTGGAAATACTAATAAAAATTACACTATTTATTGTAAAATACAACATATAATCATTGCTGTGATATTCATGGTTACATTGACTTTGGTATGACATAATTGACCTGTAAGTTGAAGAAAACATGTTTACTGGAACTTTGCTGGAGCAGTTTACTACAGTGCAACATGCAAGGAAATAACTCTTGTTGTTTAGAAGCATATTTATAGTATATCTGGGCTATTAAGGTTGTTTTTTCTTTCAGAAAATTGCAGGCAAAGAAAATTCTCTGGGAAAACAAACAATTTTTAAAAATATGTGATTATCTTATTTTATTCAAGCCTTGCCTGACCATCATATTTGCTGCGAATATTGTAAAAACAATCAGACGCCATTGGCTATCATTTCCTTGACTTTTAACATACAAATGAATGGCTTTATTGTATGTTGTTGCTCACATGAATTAGATAAAAAAGTATGGTCACCTATATGTATGGTATGGAATTTCAAACACTCACAAAAATGAAACAAAAAAAAAGTGATAATTTTTTCACTCTCATTAAAAATTAGATTAAAAATAACTGAATACAAACCTTCCATTCTACTGAGGACGTTCCTTTTACTGGCATAACGACCATATTGACCAGCCCTCGCCATTCCAGGCTCAATATCTTCATCATTGTCACTGTCTCTTTTGGTAGAGTCAATTATACGCTCTGTGCATATTCTCTGTCAGAACACAAAGTTTATTGGTAATTAGAAATTAGAAATGTATTGTTGACATTAAATCTAAGAACCGGAGGATGCCCTGGGGTTCAAGCACAGTCCCTCTATCTATGATAGTGGGATTGTGGTGAAAATGACTAAAATACAGCATTTCTAAAACAAAACAAATCACAAATACTATTATCTTTTTTGTAAACATATACCACATTTCTTCAGTATTTTACTAATGCGTGTAACAAATATATGGCTGATACACAGGTTGTCAGTATACCTCGTCTCTTAAAAACAAAAACAAAATGTACAATCTTGCAACTATTGTAAATAGCAGTAGACTAAATTTGTCTGCAAACACTAGTATACATTTCCTAAAATTGTTGTCTGCTAAATGTGTGATCACTTTGTGGAATTTGATGGGAGCCTACCTAGCCAATGAATGAGACTGGTTTCAAATAAAAGGTCTATAATTATTCATACTCTTGAATAGACGTCAATGATTATAGAAAACTTAAATTAGACTATTTTGGGCGTCACGAATAGATTAAAATCTGGAAAATGACACCAAAATAATAAAAAAACGCCTTAAAAAACTGCCGAATTTATGGCAGAATCTGGTACTGTGCTGGTATGTATAAACATGGGTTTGTTGACTTTAATGTATTTATTTATTAATAAATTACTTTCATTAAATTTCCCAAATTATTTGTGGAGATTTGTTGAGACTGTCACTATTGAGTATGTTTGATCACAGAAAAGACTTTGACAAAAAAATGTAATCTAAATTTTGTCGAGGCATTCGTTTAGTGGTCTGAGAGTCAATCATGGAGAAGTGAAAGATTACGTAATGCGTGATCCCTGGTGGAAAGTGGGCGTGACGTTGTTATTGTCCAAGCGCAGGTGCTGCGTTGTATGTATTGCATATAATATATATATAATATAACGCAAACATTACAAACTACAATGTAAATAGTACGCAGGACGAACATGCTTTTGATGTTAGTGGGAAAATAAACTTGTAATAGACAATATTTACCTGCAACAGTTCGGCACGTGTTTTGGTCGCCGAAGTCTTCGCCGGCTTCTTGCTCCGCGTTCCTGGCACCTCTCCGGTAAGCATGTACCTCTCATATTCAGCAACGTTGTTGAATTGCCTCACTGCTGGGCGTGGCACAGTTACGTCTTTGGAGTAAAGAGCAGTAAGAGGCTGAAATTTCGGAGAAGTTAAATCTATCTTCTCACGTTCCTCGTCGTCGGGCGCAGCCATTTTGAATTCCTGAGTCTCGCTCATAACGTGATTTCGCGAGAAGTGATACCAAAGGCAATCACAATTTTACAGTCTACTCATTCACATTTGAAAATTTAAACTTTATTTAATTTCAAATCGATTTATCCACTGTAGCTATATTTTATGAATGTCAATAACAAATTAATAAACCAAGAATATTTATAAGCACATTTCTCATTTTTTCACCAAGAAACATGACTATCAATACAAATTACAATCAAGGATAATGAGCTACAAAGAAGTAAATCATCTCGGTATCAAAAAGGTTTGTTTTGCCTTGGCAACGCTAATTTTCCTGTGTTTTTTTTGTGGACTTGAGCTTTTATACTGACGACAATGCCACCAAAGAAAGGAAAGGGGAAAGGGAAGGGAAAAGGCAAAAAAGGAAAGAAAGCTGCAGCAGCTGCAGAAGGTGGAGACGAGGGACCAGTTGAGCCACCAAAGCCCACCGAGAAGGAACTGCTTCTCCGAGCAGAGTAAGTAAATAAATAAATTGACTTTCAAGAGAACCATTTAAATGTATGGGTGGTTTAATATGTGATTAAAATGGTAGATTCCCAGGAAATATGCAGTATTAAATCAAATGCTATTATTAAACCCTTTTTCTTCTACATTGAGTCTTGTAATGACATAATAAACAATAAAAATCCGACATTTACTATTTGTCGCAATTTGCACAAATACTTTACATAATATTCTCAAGACCCCACTTAAACTTCAAACAAACAAAATGTATGCATAATGATGATGTAAACTTTTCTCAAACAGATTAGAATCACTGACAGAGGAATTAGCTGGATTAAAGAAAAGAGTGGAAGAATTGTATCCTTTCAATAAAAATAAA